TCCCCACCCCCGCCCCCGGTAAACCTGCTACCTTGTGGAATATACTGGCATAAAACAAGGAAGCTCATCTCTTAGGACAGTGTGAGTTTTAAAACAGACCTTTGCACCTCTTTTCCCTATCATATTAACTTCCAATTCTTGTAACAGAATTCAAATAGATACTTGGAAAAAGTCTGTATTTATTTTCACGTGGCTCTCATTTTCTTCTTGAAGGCCAGAGCACCAGTGTAAAGGAAATAAGCATGTTGATGGAAGTCCATTCATTTATCTAAATTAACTCCCTGGGACTGCTGAGAAATAGAAATCATTTTGAAAAGCCCACTTGTACTTCATTAAAAAAATTATTTGAGAAAAACGATTTAAAATCACGACCCTCCTTATTTTGTTGTTTACAAAGGTCAGAGAAAAGGCCAAAAGAATGTTTTTGATTTATTTTCTGAAAAAGTACATTAGAAATGCTTGAGATATAGGTATGTAACAAAACGAGGTTGCAAACTGCATTGATAAGAAATTACTTTCTCATGCTTTGGAGGAAAATATCATTACCAATTTTCTGAGGACTTATATTGCTTGAAAGGTTTTTGGTAGCCTTAGGAAGTTTTTCCACTGTGGAGGAGTAATATGTAGCTATCCTCCTGATCATGTATCTGAATGCACTGAATGCCTGCGCACATGATAAATGGTTTGGGTTTCACAATTTTTCAAAAATCCTGGTGGCAAAGGAAACACATGCCTTTATAAAGTTTTTTTTTTTAAGTGAATATTCTTAAACTTGCATAATAAGTGTAGCTTCACATGGCTGCTTCTTTCTGTGAAATGAGAAAGGAATATACAAGCTTCAGTTTGTTCAGATCAAATTTTGGAATGGTAATTGTTTGTAATGGCTTCTCCGTAATATTTATTTTTGAGTGTATCGAGTTCATAGTTGCCAGATGACTTCAATATAAATTCTTACAATATATTTGTTAGTAAAATATATCCTGCCAAATATATTTAACCTTGAAATATCCATCTTTGAATACCTTGAACTTCTCTATAATTTCCTCTATCAATTGCCTGCTGTTTTATGATTTTCAAAGATTTAGAAATCATGTAACATCTTCATTTTTATCAAATACATTTTTTTGTGTCACAATGTTAAGTCACACGTTCTTTTGAGGTCTATCAATATTTAAGAATTTATACTATTTCAATATTTTCTTTTCAAAGTAAATATTCCATAGTCTCTATTCTTATATGATTAAGTAATTACAGAGGTTTATTAACTTTTAACATTATTCTTTCTTTGAACCAATAATGCAATAAAAGCCTGGTTTTGGAAAATGTGGGATACTCTCATGAGCTTATTATAAAAATAGCCAAGCTATCACTTAAAAGAAATTCTTTGGAGAGAGAAATTTTAATATTTATGATATTATGAAGCTTACATGATTTAATTTCCAGAACAGAAGCCATTACTGACTTTTATAGTCACTACTTTTAGGAGAAGGAGCTATAGTTAGTTAAAAGCTCAATTTAAATACATAATTTAAGATTCAAAATGTTTGGTACAATTTAAATTTTTCCTCATCATTGTGGATAGTATCACACCCAGGATTCAAACTATAATTTTTCTATAAAATGTACATGTTTTCCTTAAGATATGAACATCCTGTACATTCTGAAATTTTCATTTTTACTTAAAACTAAAAGGCCAAGCTTCTATTCTCAGGTGAATATTTTGAACTATTTTTAGTAAGTCACCTGGGGCTAAATGAAGTCTGCCATTCACAGTGTGTTTCCTGAGAAAAAAAATCTGGAGAATACAGGAGGCTGACATGGCCCGGAGCTTTCCTCCAGAACAAGCTCTTTGCTCTCTGAGTGCCCAGCCACTTCAAAAAAGAGATGAAGTGGGTGACTGCAATGCACTAGATTCTTATAAGCTCTTCGAAATCGTGTTTTTAAGGTTCTAAGGTTACGTCTTTATTATCCTTTGCCACACAATTGCTATGATGCCTAAATGGGCAGGTTTCTCTTTTACTCTTTTTAAATGTAGGTTTTTTACAACCTCACCCTGCCCAACAGTTCCCACAATACCTGAGCTGCCAGGAAGGGATATCATAGAGAAACTATCATGCACATTCTAGGACCAGCCCTACAAAGAAATTCAAATGTGTTTTCAAATCTCTTACTGTATTTTTATTGCTATAAGCTGCTTTAGTGTAACTTGGGCAGTCTGACCTTTGCAGCTAACCACCTGCCTAGCTTTTTGGCAAAGATGTTTGAAAACATATGTCACAGAAGAATGAGCTGTGTCCAGTAACCTTGTATTCTGCTCTATGCTTCAGAGAGCCCTAATAACAAGTGTGCTTTTGTGGGATCTGGATTTCAGAAGTGGTGAACCTGATGTAAATGACATAAAACACGAGAGTAATCACTTAAGTGTCACAAGTCACAACCAGAGAAGAGCTGGGGACAGACTCGTAGCAAGTTCAGAGAGGCTGAGAGTCCCTCTCATTCTGCCTCCCAGGGGATAATCTGCCAAGTATTTAAAAGCATGAAATGTTTGTGCTTTAAGTTTTCCTTAAGAACACTACTAAAAAATGAACACAAAGCATATGCTAGAAATTAAAGTTGAACTCTTATTTAAAATTCTAAAGAAACAGCTGCATTTTTCTCAAGCAAACTTATGGAAACTTTTGCAAAAGCAAAAACTCAGGTTAGGTTCACTCTAACCATGGATATTAATTGAAAAGCTCATGATGAATCAGTGCTTTTGAAATTCAATTTCTAGGGGTCTGCCAAAATGTCTTTGTATTTTGCCCCTAGTCAAAGGAAAGGCAGAACTCACGTTTCCGGGACAGACTGCAAGTACATCTTGCCCTAAATGCTCTGGGTTCATGATATCTCAAGCATTTACAGTGATGACAAAACATAATGTTGTCACAATCAAGTGTAAAACATTCTTATGGCCTGTCTTCTCATCCATATCTTGCTTTACACAAGTTTTCCTGCTCTTCAAGTTACTGAATTAGAACGATGTTAAACAATATATGCATTAAAAATGAATGGCTACTGATGCAAAAAGCTCTCAAGGAGAAAACTCTCCTAGTTTTTCTCTTGTTCAAGATAGTCGTATACAATATTAAGCTGTGAAGAATTCAGTAAAGCTTGACTATGCATAAACATCAGTCAGAACGTTTTCTTCTGAGCGAAGCAATGTCCATTCTTTGAAAACTCTAACCCTAAACATGGCCTAACTGTCGTATGAACTCAAAATATGAGTCAGAAGGCAAAGTTAGCTAAAGTTCCCTAAACATACTTAATCTCTGCATCTTCTGGTTATTAGAGCCAAATGAGCACTAATCACATATTCGGAAGACAGAGATGGTATGGAATATAAAGTACTACAGAGAAGATGGCCAGAGAAGAAGTAAAGCTGTTCGCAATGCCCAAGGCCGGCTGGCTCTCCAGAGAGAGGAGTGTGCGAGAGGCACTGGGAACGAGCATTGCCTGGGGGAGGGAGGAAAGATCATCCTGCAGAGTCATTATTTATTTCTAAAAAATAGTTAAAGATATCCTCTCAGACACTACACTGACAATATATTCAATAAAAACACAAAACACAGTTAACAGTTTAAAGCAATCTATGTGCTGGTGATAGAGAAGAACCAGTCTTCTATACTCACGGCCTAGGTAACGACAGCGAATGCCAGGTAGGAAGATCGCGTTAGAGCGAGGACACAGGGGCCCACTGGGATTGTGGAACTGGAGCATCAAACCATAATCTGAATCTATTTATGAAAGGTTCGTAGGAAGACAGAAAGCAAGCAAGCAAGCAAGCAAGCAAGCAAGCATGCAAACAACTTAAGCAATCTGTTATTAGCCATGTAATGGTAGTACTATACATTAGAGGTATCAGCGGACAGACAAGACGGATACTTTGAAAACAGGCAGTGCATTGTAGAAAAAGTACAGTGTCATAGGTGGGGAAAACTTAAATGGCATTCACGTCTCTAGTCAGAGAACTACTCTCCAAACCAAACCAGGAAACAGTTTCTGACAAATTGCTAAAGTCCAAAACAAAACAAAACAAAACAGAACAACAAAAAGGAAATAAATTTCAATCCAAGAAATAAAGGCTTTCTCTATTTTTTTGGACAATTTTATCTACTTGAGGTATACTCTCTAAATCTATAGCAAGTAAGACAGAGCTTATAGGGTACTTTTTTCCAAAAGAAACAATAAAGCATAATATACAGGTTAAAATTTACTTAGAATGAGTAAATTCTGCTTTTTGAAGAGTAAATAAGATGTGTGCTTTAAAAAATAGGTCTCTTAAAAGATACTAGAATTTTTTTCCTCTTTGCTGTGTGTGTAAAACTTCATCTAGACAGTGAAACTTTCACTACTAACCCATTTACTACTTTTGGCTAGAAAAGGAATTCTGAGGACATAGGTTCAACTTTCTAATTTGAGAAGCCCATTCTGGTGAATCAGCTTCAGTCAACAGATGCCTGTTATTTATGGGTCGTTTTGAGTCTCTAAAATTCAATTATTCTTGCTGTTTACAGAAAGTAACACTTTTAAGAGATTAAGAATCACACACATTCTCACACACACACTCACTCAAAAGTACCAAATCAGGCTCTGGCAGCTGCAGAGAGATTACATCACAACTCAGCTGTGCCTGGATTGCTCACTTTACACTGGCAGCATTCAAGATTAGAAAAATGAAATGGCAGCACAATTGATCAGCAGCTTCTCTTCTGGAATTTTTCCAGGTTTTTGAAACGGACAAACAGACAAACAAATGAATGAACATAAAGCTGCAATCATTCTTGCATTGATTTAAAATGGTAAACAGTTGGTTTCTGTGGAGAAGCAGAGCCCGTCCCGGAGATGGCAGCAGACAGATCTCCAGCCAGTGATTTCTGACAGCTCTGCGCTGCTTACGCAGGAGGACCCATCAGCCACCAACGGTGTTCTCCAGGTCAGCAGCTCAGGGCAGCACTGGGACCTCAGGCTGTATTCATCTCCGAGCTGTTCTGGCTGGGCGGCAGGTGGGAATCCAGGTTCTCCTTGCACCTCTCCAGGTCGTGGAAGTACGGGTGAGACAAGGCACCGTAGGCAGATATTCTTTTGGCTGGATTAAATGTCAAGCACTTCTGTGATAAAGAAAAAAAATAACTGATTGACATAAAACATGTCCATTTAAAAAGTGTGCTCATATAGTTATAACATTACATCTTCACTGCCATGAATTACTTGTGTCTATAACGAGAATGAATATCCACTTCAAGGGACGCTAATTAACTGCAGACAGCACTCATCTTATGTATATCCTTAATGTGTAACCTGCCCCTCAGGAAAAGGCGAGCCCTTCAGGGTTGCTTATGGACTCTTACTAGCTCGGATTTCTCTGCAACCCCCTCCAGGTCCTTTAAACGATATTATTGCCATTATTGTAGTATACATACAACTCTATTTAGGAAGCGATTTTTCTAATGCTAGCAAACTTAGTGCTACCATCAGAGACTTCACCCTAACTTGCAACTCTTCCCCAAGGTTTGCCAATGAGCAGAGAATGGCAGGGTGGTGTTCAGGTGTAAAGGTAATGACTGAACTATTCTCCAAAACAAAAGAGCAAACAGTTTCTGACAAATTCCTAAAATCAAAACCAAACAAGATAGCAACAAAGAGCAAATACATTTCAAACCAAGAAATGAAGACTTTCTCTATTAAGAAGGGGACAAGTAAGGGCTAAAACCTAGATCCTCCCAATGATCCCAATCTACTAGCAAGCCCTGCAGCCTGCACCAGGGCCACGCCCCCAGAGGAGGGGAGCCTGACTTCCAAAGCAGGTCAAGGGGCGGGGTGGGCCAGCGCCATCCCTCTAGGGGCCCCTCAGATTCAACTCAAGTCCCTAAACTCTATTCCAAGCCGACAACTCAAGTGCAGGTAGAAGGTGCAAGGAGGGAAAGGTGACCTGTGGGGCAGCAATCTGCATTCCCAAACTGTCTATTCATAATCAATTAGTCAGAGAGTTTCCTTAATCTCGGCTCCATTTCCAGTCCAACCCCAGGTAATCTTGTTCCTCAAATCCCCCTTCTCTGCTTCCAGCGCCACCTCCTGAGTGAGTGCCTAGCAGGTGGCATTAATTAACGATGAGAAAGACCCACCCACTGCCCCTGGAGTTGACAAGTAGCGGGGAAGTTATACCAGCTTTTCCTTCCCTGTGATGCGGGGCCCACGGAAGTGAGCAGCCATCAGATATGTCTATGAATTTGAGTCTCTTATGTAAGCTAAGGATTTAACATCAACATGGCTATGCAGACCACTTCCATTTAATCTGTGTTTCTGCTCTTAAGGAGTTCTGCCGAATGCTACTGACCTAGAAAAAACAGGTAAAATAGAAAATTCTACATATAATTTCAGCATAATTTTTGAGTTCCCTGAAATCTTATTTATCCTGAGCTCCCTCCCTGTCCGTGGATGCTAGCTTCCTCACAGTGTCTTCCGAAATCAAAGAGTGCAAAGATGAGCAGAAGGAGGAGCTTGTTCGTTGAATGGTTCTACTGTCTCTAAGAGCAATACACATCTTGAGAAAAGCTTTACAAGGAAGGGCGGAATTCCCAAAAGACAGGAAAGCAGAGGCAAAATTCCTGGGTCTGAGTTCTCTCTTCCCAGACTCTAAGAAGGAGAAAATTAGGTAGTAGCATTAAAAAAGGAAGCAGCTAATTTAATCCCCAGAACATAGGGAAGAAAAAACATGTGGGAATATGTTCAAGATACAAAGACATTTCCCTAGAGGATTATTTGGGAGAAAGCCCTGTCCCCACAACTATACTGATGGCTTAAAGTTGGCCAGAAGGTAGAGAGGAGGAGAAATCCTTAGCCAAATGTGGGGGTGTGTGAGAATCTCAAGTTGGAAGTCTTAATATATTATGTCCTATAGAAATATTGTTAGAAAAAGTGGCTAAGCTCTATCTATTATTGCTCTACTCCAACAGAGTAACTGGCTGGCTTGAGAATTAAAAAAATTTGTGTAATAATACTGTTTCTGTAAGGAAATTTACTTCCCCAAATTACTGATTTATAAAATGAGCTTTTGGAATGACAGCTTACTTGAGACTTGACTACTACAGGGAATCTGAACAGTTTTCAGCATATATTCCCTTTCACCCCTTTCCTCCCCCGACGTTGAGAGTATTCTTTCCTCTACCGAAGTTGGCCTTGTGTATTGAACTTGCTTTGGCCAATGGAATGTAGACCGAAGTAGCAGGGTAGCTCTTCCAAGCCTAGGCCTTCAGGGGCATCATGTGTTTCTGCTTGCCTTTCTGGGAGCATCTGCCTTCTGCCATGAAAAAAACATGCTCCATGGAGTGAAGCCTCTCTGGCCTGGGCCCCAGAATAAGACACATGGGAAAGACCTGCACTTGGCCTGAAGGCTGGCGGACTGTCTCTGCCCATCTGCAGACCCATGCGTGAGGAAAAATGCTTATTGTTATATGCTAGTGAGATTTTTTTTTTATTTGTTATGTAGCAAAATCAGACTAAATACAAGGACAAAAAAAAAAAAAAAAGAAAAAAGAAAAAAAGAAAAAAAAAGTACCTCAACCTCTGAAAGCAGTTAAATAGCAGGAATCTAATTTTTTTTTCAGCAAGAGCATCATATTTGGAATAAGTATTCAGTCTCCCAAATTAATCATGACCAAGTGGACAAAACTCATAAAAATGTGTAGGCTTTAGTTGTTAAAAATAATTCTCCCCTGAACTGTCTTACTACTGTACACTTCTTATAGAGTATGTATGTAAGAGGATTTATAAACGTGGATGTATATATGTCCATATATATACATATGAAGGAGGCATTATATAAAGTCAAGCTTTTTTTCCTCAGATAAAAATGAAGAGTAACTCTTAATGTGCAAAATTTTCAAATGTTAGTTGTTTCTTAAAATAACACAAACTTTCTAAAAGAGTCTTCTCTCTTTTTCTTTGGTAAATAATTTTCAGTAGAGGCAACGGGCACTGCTGGGGGCTCAGCTGTCTCTCTTGCACCAAAGGGCGCATCTTCCTGTGCTTCACAGGGCTCGCTTGTGCCCCTCCAGAGGGTCCTGAGCTGTGAGGTTTGCGACTGTCCTTCCTCGGAGCGCTTGTGGATGTTGTGTTTATGCTTACATTTCCCCTAGTCCTGATGTCACTGGCTCTGCTTCTTATTCCTCAACTTGATTTTTCCTCTTCTCTTTGGTACATTTCCTTGTTCCTTTTTCTCCAATTGTCTCCTGCTGCTTTTCCGGGCTACCACTAGTGCGTTATCTGACTTTGAAAGCCACTGCTGCTAGGGCGACCACCCTAAATGAGCATGTGAGACATTGTCTGTAATCTTCACATTTGAAGTTCCTCTTAGTGACCCTGATGATGTTGGAACTAGGAGATATTTTGGGTGGTCTTTGGATAACCCGGTAGCCTGCAGAGTTAAATACTTCATCACCGAAGTCCATCCCTGTGACTGTCTGTTCAGAATCCTTTTCTAAGAGGAACATTTCAGTCAAAGTTCCTGCTGAAAAGGAAGCCTATGGTGGTTATAATTAATTCCACATGATCCCTCCCCCTTCCCAGCGGAGCTGACTGGACCAGCAGCTTGGCAAAAAGGTAAGGCGTGCTAGCCGGGTTCTTCCTTTTAGGAACCTGATGTAGGAATACTGATGGGACAAATGTTAGCAGTGGGGGTTAGAGCTGAGAGAATCCATGAGTTAGCTTAAGTTCTGACAGTCAGGGGACCAGTTAGAGTTAAGGGGAGCACGCAGTACAACTGAAAGGAAACAATGAGGTGAAGAACAGGCACTCAGGGCAGAGTTGCTAAGAGCAGGTGATGCAAAAGCCAGATACGGAGCATTTACACTCTGAATGGCTTTCTATTTCCAGGCCAGAGGAAATATCCCACTAAACTCCCTTTTCTTTCTTTTTTTAAAATTTAAATGGTTATTTATTGATTTTGAGAGACATCAAGAAAGAGAGAGAGAGAGAGAGAGAGAGAGAGAGAGAGAGACATTGATTTAGCTGTCCACTCATTTATGCATTTGTATTAGGATGACTCTGTAACCAACTGAACTCCTGTGCCAGGGCTCAAACTCCCTTTTCAATGCAAGTACATATCTGTTATTTGAAACCAAGGAAAAATTTTCCTAAATAGCAGGGGAGTCAGCAAGTGCGTATATATTGTGACCCTTTGTCTAGATGAATATTCTCCCTTCTAATTAATTTATTTCAAAGGATGTTGCCCTTAGTGAGTGTCTTAGAAATAAACAGTGGGGAGGAAATATAGCTGTCCTTATCCATAATTTGTCAATGGAGGGAACTGTTACCTAAGCCTCAGAAAATGAGCCACCGTCAGGTGAAGATGGAGTTAAGCTTCATTGGGCCCTGACCAGTGTGGCTCAGTTGGTCGGGCATTGTTCCACAAAGCAAAAGATTGCTGGTTCGATTCCTGGTTAGGGCATATGCCTAGGTTGCGTGTTCAGTCCTGGTCTGGGTGCGTGCAAGAGGCAAGCCATTGATGTGTCTCTCTTGCACTGAGATTACTCTCCCTCCCTTCTCCTCTCTCTGAAAATAAATAAATAAGATCTAATAAGTTTCATTGGGAAAATATATGGCTCAGCAAACATGCCAATCACTGGTTGTATTTACACAGAGCTGAAGCATAACATTTCTACTAAGACCTATAGGCTCCTGGGTCTATATTTGAAATTCAGACTACATTGGCAGAGTGGGAGCACGGCTCCTCCTGGTTTAGGGGCACTGACAGCAAAGGCTGTTTCAGTGGTAAAGACTCATTACTCACCGGGTTCCAAACACCGAAGTGGCGCAGTAGGTACATTCCCTTCCCTATTGTTCTGGCTGCTGAGTACAGGGAATGATGTAAAAGGCCAAGTATTACGATTTCTGTCTCAAACAGGACCCCAAAGTCCTTATTTTCAGCGTGGTATTTCATATGTGCCTGACACATTCAGTACTCATTAGAAGCATATGTTTATGTGAATGGGGAGGCCTTCAAAAGCTACATTCAAATGAACATTCAAAGTTAAAGAATTGAAAAGTACGTGTGTCAGACTCTCTCAAGGAACTGAAGACATTCCAGAATCGAAAGCCACCAGCTCTACAGGTGTGGAAATGAGAGCTACAGAGAGACTGTGGCCTGTGCCATGTGAGGCTGTGGTGCATGATGTGGACCCCACCACCCACAGTGGACGGGGCAAGTCTCTCATCAGCACAGAGCAGATCAACTCTGCATCGCCTGAACTTACCAGAAGTAGGTCTTTGCCTTGTTCATCAATGTCTGAAACAAAGTTCTCAATAGGTTGAGGAGATTTTGAGTGAAAAGCCTGCCTGGGAAGGGCCACGTCTCTAGGCCAGTCCTCTTCTCCTGGGAGTCCAATTACGCTGCAAAGAACCACACGTGAATATAAGCATTAGCTGCGGTGCAGAAGCTATTTTCCCACCAAATTCTAGATGAAGGTGAGGTCTAAGGGGCAGGCACGGGGCACCCAGAGCCCCAGGAGCCCTTCACTTGTGTAACTGGCAGGATCCTCAGTTCCGTCTGCCTGGCTGCAATGCAGCGGTGACAAGGTAGAGGGGGATCTCACAGGAGAACTGCACAATTCACTGGGGAGAGATGAGAGCTTGCTCTGGAAGCAGATAGTCAATGTAAGAGATAGTGAAGAAATGCAAAACGGTTTATTACTAATAAGCCCTGAATTATGGATGGAGTAGGACCTGTATATTCAAATTAGGCCCACGTGGGCATATAATATTTTCCTTTACGCCTATGAGTGCTTTTTTGTATCTTATCAAATACTTCAGGATTGACATGTTTTTATGGTGCTCCTATAATATGATTTCTTAAGATATAAATTCGGTTGCATTCTTGGTTAAAGAATAATTCCCCAAACAGTAATTACATCCATTAGAATAAGACCAAAAAAAAAAAAAAAAAAGAGAGACTACAAAGTTTGTCAGTCTTGTGTCATGCAAAAACTATTTTATAATTTAATATCAAATTTATCTGTTTTTATTATAGAACTATTTTAGGGTATTCCAAAGTGACTAAATAAAAAAAAACAGTATCATTATGTTTTTCCTTGAAAATCATTCTGGGATCAGAAATGTGGATAGAGCCTCAAATAATGTAAAAACAGCACAGGCTTTAGAAATAGGTAGATCTGTGTTCAAATTCTGCACCTGCCACTTATGGGTAGGTACGAACAAATTACTTAACTTCTATGAGCTTCACTGTCATTTTTTAATACAACATTGGTAGTTTATGGTCGTTATCAGCAATAATTTACAGAAAGTGACAGCACAGTGTCTGACACCCAGGACTTGTCAATATCAATACGTTACCCATTGTTATTATCATAAGAGGAAAATAATGTTATTAATCTAAAATGTGTAGGCAATATATCATTGTCACACTAAAATATGGACTGCTTGAATTGTATTAATGTGTAAATTAAGGTTCTTCAGAAATATTAATAGGTCAGTGGCATCACAGAGCATAATATACATTATATAGTTATTATTTATAGCTTATGTACAGGTGGTAAGTAGGTATGAACAAAGGAAATCAGGGGATGTAATCAGTCTAGTAACATAGACTGATTAATTCTGAATTAAAATTATAGTTCAGTGAACAGAGCCTATGGGTTTTCAAATACTGACCAAACGGTTTAAAGAAATTAGGGTCTTCTTGGTCTGCACTCGCTGGGACTAAGGCCCAGAAGACGTGTTCTCCTGAATGGCGTTCCAGGTTTCAGGAAGATATGGTGGTAAATGTAACAGAATCTCTACTGGGCTCTGTTCCCCTTCCCTTACCTGAGCAGAGCCCAGGTTCTAGACCTCCCCGAAGAAGAGCAGACACCCATGTCACAACTGCACCCTTCACTGGGTGCCAGGGTTGGGAGGGAGACAATCCTGCCTCTGTAGGATGTGCTGGGAGAGCTGCATTACTGAGGTGGATAAAGCCAAACCCAGGGACGTCTTTATTGGGGCATATGAATGGAACCGGCAACTTGAGCAATATGCAAATTGGTTGTTAAATAGCAAGATCTAGGAGAAGAGTAAGAAGAAAAAACCTCACTAGGAACTATTAAAGGAAATAAATGTATATGTGTTTGGAGAGAATGAAATTGGCAGAGGAAGAAAAGAAGATTGCTTATTAAAGAACTTTGTTTTTCTTTCATTCCTTTTTTAGTTTCTTTTTTAGCCATTTATACTATTAATGTATTTGCATATCATCACCAGTTGCCTAGAAATTGGTTGCAACAACTCTTAGTAATAATTTAAAGTCTTTTTATTTGCAGCTTTCAGTATATTTATATTGAGTCAAAGCTGGCAATATGGACAGCTGAATGCTGAAAGCCCTGCGAAAAACAGTGTCTGCATCAGCATGTATGTGTGGTGTATAATTATATACATGTTTCTATTCTATTATAATATTTCTATTCTATTCCTACATAAATAACTTTAAGAAGTGTTTGTAATTCTATCACCTCCCTTGATCCCCATAACAGCCTCCTGCGACATGTAGGGCAGGTCTTACAATTGCTGCTTTACCGATGAGGAAACTGAGTCAGAGGAATGAAATGAACTGCTACGGTCACCCACAGCGAGTTCAGCCACAGAGCCTGGAGGGATCCCATTCTCCTTAGTCCAAATCCAATATTTTATTTCTATTTAACTATGACTCTGCTCCTAAATATGCTCTAAAATGCCACAGGCTAAAAGCATTCAGTTTCACTTTCAAAGTCCTTTCTGTTCTTTGAAAGTATAAATCTTCCTAAACACAAACATTTTTTTCTTTCCCTTAAGAGAATGTGCATATAACTTTCTTTAAAAAATTCACGTTAATGCAGTATGGACTTTTATGGTCCATATGTGAGTGTGGTGAAATTCTGATAGGTCCATTAAAAAGTGCTTGCATCAAATTTCAGTATTTGGACAGCTGAATATAACCCTTAAAAGCTGACATTTGTACTGGAAAGAATGACAGAGCACAAAACCTATAAATGGCAGTGATGGTGGGCACAGAAACCATTTTTCAAGTTCTTTAGAAGTGACACTAGGGTGCAGCATTGTCCCTTTTCTCTACGCAAGTAATAACTGCACTCAGAGGAAACAGAACATAATTTCAATGAAACAATGCCAGAAACCAAGAAGTAAAATCAAAAGGCACAAAACATGTAGAACTTCATGGCTTCTTTCTGCTGGCAACCTAGGATCTCGGGCCTTTCCTAAAAGTAGACCTGGCTTTCCCTTGGAAGTGTATTTATCAAAGGTTCCTTCTGGCCCATCTATCTCATAGGCTTCGTATACTCAGGGGCACGGACAATGTTAACAAGATTGCAGATGCCAGTGCTGGAGGCGGACCAGGTGCCTGGGTGGTGTCAGCGAGGAAAAGCAGGGGAAGGACTCTGATGCCTGGCAAGCAGAGGGTCACGGGTGCATGCCTGACTTTCCCAGTTCACTCTTCACAGCAATGGGCAAGAGTAGATGGGAGTTCATCACTGAATGACGAAGAACCTGACACCCAGAAGCAAGTTCTGTCCCGAATCCACCCATCTTACAGAGTGGTCAGTAGAGGCAGCAGTTACGGCAGTTGCCCTGGATCCCTCCAGCTCCCAGACAGCAAAGCTGGCCAATGTTTTTCAGACCTTAAGGCCACCTGGTTCTGACTCAGCAGTGGCATTGACACTAGCAGATGTCTACTGGAGCTCCTTCCAGTCACCAAAAGAACAAAGTCAGATTCCAGTTGTATTCCAACTGTTTTAAGCAGTCATGCTTGAGTAGGTAGGGTTAAAATAGAATTCTTTTCTTTAGGAGTACTTCTCCACAGTTTTACAGATTGCAAATATCATAAAAATCACTGGGATTCCCATAAAATGTCACAGACCAATGATCAGGGCTCTTTCTGGTTCTACAACTCCCACTTTCTTCCTACTCCACCCCAACTCTGATGGAACTTGGCAAACATACAAATCCCAAAAGGATGCCATACTGCATGCTTTGTGAGAAGAAAAGCCCCCTTTTTCATTCTAGAAACAGGAAAGCATACATACCCTCACATGCACACATGCAGACATGAATGGAACTCTGCAAATCATCAAGGAGCTAAGTAACAGACAACTGGAACCAAAGAATGTGATCACAAGAAAGGAACTTAAAGAGAATTTAAGCTCAAAGTTTCATTTCTCAGGTAAAGAAGTTGAGGGACAAAATGGTTAAACAATTAATAATGAATTATAATAATAGCTAACATTTTAAAAGCACTGACATGTACCAGGCACTGTGTAAGCTCCTTTGAGGGTATGTTAAATGACTTACTCAAAATTGCATCGTTATTTAGCCACAGACATAGAATCTAGGATTCTCATTTCCTATTTCAGTGCTCCACAGAAAAATGGATTATGTAGCAAACCATTCATTGTCCAGGAAAACAATGGAAAACCATCCAGGATGACTAAAGGATACTGAATGGGGGCAGGAAGCCCAGTGGGCAAGGATGGGTTACCAGGCCACCAAGCGCCCCACCTCTGATGGCGGATGCATCTGAAATGACCCCAGGCAGACAACACATCTGAATTAAGAACAGGAGCTCGGCCAGGCAAACAAGGAGGGAGCAGCGCAAAGACCCACACGAGCAACATACAAGCTTCCAGAGCAGAGTGGTCAGGCCACATGTCGTCATGGGCTCTGCATAAAACAGCACCTCTACCACATCCCCACTCACCACACAAAGAGTAATACTGTCTGCAGCAGCAGCTTGGGGTAGGAAAGACAAGAGATAAATGTATTATATGAATGTCAGAGGAAAGTCACTGTAAATGTTTTAATGCTACAGACACTGATGTAAAATTATAGTTACTACTTACTCCAAGATTTTTCCTAGTTGATCCACATCTGAACTTCCGCGAAAAAGAGGCCTAAAAGAATAAAGATATTTATTAAACAATGAGTCTTCTCAGGTTACATTTCAATCATATTTGCCATTATCATTGTTTGACAGGAAGCAAAATATTCAAGTGTGGGGAAGAAGGAGTAAGGAATAGCTGTATCTTCCGTTTGGTAAATAAAAGCTTTTCTTTAAAAAAAAATTAAAAAATGTTTATTGATTTGAAAGAGAGAGATATCAATTAATTGGTTCCGTTCCATACATACCCCAACTAGAGGTCGAACCTGTAACCTTCTGAAATACAGGGTGATGCTCTAACCAACTGAGCTACATGGCTGGGATTGAAAGCTCTTCTTAAATGTCACTTATAGTAAGGATCTCTCCTGAATACCTGGTGGTACCTGATGCCCGTGTTTTCCCATCATGGCTATCCTGTTCATGGTCATTTTAACGGTAGTGTCACCATTCCCATATAGGTTCTGGCCTCAAAGTTCTACTTTACTTTGCGACAGGTGGAACATGTCACTGTCTTAGTCTCAAACCAGGGAATGCAGTATTCTTTGAAACTGTTTTTGGTCAGGTCCTTCTCAGAGCCCCCTTTCCTCACCACTGGGCAATCACAGCACTTCCTTATGCGTCTCTCCTTCCACACTTGTCCTGAATGCTGCAGTGAGTTACCTCGGGGTCTATTTTTCTGATTATACCATTTCCCTTTCTCCCAATATTATGGTAGGTAAGCATTACAAGTTCCAAATCCTAACTCTGGACTTCAGAGGCCGTTGTGAACACACAGCCCCCTTTGAGCGTTTAACTGGCAATTAAATCAGCTCACTTGGTGACACTTCTGGCATTTTTCCCCCCAGTGGAGCAATACCTCTTGAGAGCAGGGACTTCACTACGTTTGCCCCCAACCTTGGGCTTGGTGCATTACCTGAATAGGTAGGTGCTGGGGTGATAAATATTGTATTGGATTTTATATACAGCTATGGTACACATGTAAATGTAAATGTCCCGTAATTCCTTGCTCATGCATGACAGGTATTTTTCAACAACAATGTGTTTAAAAATACTTGCAGCCTATTAATAGAGACCATATTTTAAAAATATTATATTTTAATTTATAAATCTTTAAGCTTGACCCCTTAAACATTTTTTATGCACAGTAAATAAACTCACTATATATAAAGAATCATGCAAAGTGGTTAGCAGGAGACACCTTAAAATTCTTCAACCATACTTTCTATTATTATTCCTAAAATGGTTATTTTTCAAATGCAGTAGAAAATAACTTATTTGTTGCAATGTTATAGGCTGAATTGTGTCTCCCCAATCCCTGTGTTGAATCCCACATGCCAGTACCATGAAATGGGATTGTATTTAAAGACAGGGCCTTTAAGGAGTTAAAATGAGGATGTTAGGGTGGACTCTAATCCACATTTTCTCATGTCCTCATAAGAAGAGGAAATCTGGACGCACAAGATGACACAAGGAGCATTTTGTGCACACAAAGAAATAACCATGTGAGGACAAAGCAGGACAGAAACAAAACCTGCTGACACCTTGCTCTTGGACTTCCAGCCTCCAGAATTGTGAGGAAATATAGTTTGGTTGTTGAAGCCACCTCCTCTGTGGTATTTTGTCACGGCAGCCCTTAGTAAACTCACACAGGCAACTTGCACATCCCTAATGCAGCCAAATTCATAAAGAATTAAGAAGCTGGGTTCCAAAGGTCATCCAGACAGGTTTTTAAAGATATCAAGGTGAGAAGTTTGTTTTAGAAAAGCCACACAATGGAATCTTGACAGCCATTATTTGGAGCTCACTAATGTATGTGGCATAGAGCCACGTGCTTCCCAAACATTATCGCCCTCAGTTCTCACAGCTCCTGGAGCACGATAGTATTATTATGACCTTATTTTCAGCTGAGGAAGCTAAGGAGATGTTTCAAGGCTTACCCTAAGGACCCCTAACAAATTGCAGCCTTAAAATTCAAACCAGGTCTGCCTAGCCCCAGAGTCTGATGCTTTTTGACTGTGTAACCAAAGTACTTTAATTTTGGTCACTCATGTTCCCTGCATCACACGCAGTCGCAGAAGCTATGCCTCGGGGGTGAAAGGGCACAGGGGCTGCGTGAGGGGCCCTTACAGAGGACCTGGCATCTCACTAGCAGGTGCCTGTGAGATTCTGTACTCCGATTGCATGTGTCTAAGTGTCTTTAAATTCTTGCTCTATGTTAACAAAGAACAAAGCAATTCACCAGACTGACCAGGGCTCTTTATCCTTTCTGTAAACTTACTGACTGATAACCCTTTCCCCCAGCCCAATCTTCTACACTTCCTTGGTTTGCTCACATTTTAATTGATAAACCATTTTTCATTCTTTCCAAAGTACAGAACTTGGGGTGCATAAAAACAGTTCTTTCTTTTCACACTCCCTTGTTTCCTGAATATGTAAAGTATGAAATTACAAAACTAAGTATAACCAGCGTTATGAGGCTTGGAAACAAACACAAACGACCCCTCCGTACTGAGCATCCATCTCACAGGGCTGGAGCGACAGGCGTGCCAGGTCAGCCAGCCGGCCAGACCCTCCGCTCTTCCTGAAGGCAGGTGTCCACAGAGGCATGGGTGAAATTACCTCTGAGCATCATGAGCAGTTTAAAATAAATGCTGGCCATGGCTCCTGGGAAGCAAACTGGGCCGACTAACTTGAATGGATGTCGTTCCCAGCACAGGCCTAAGACCGTCTCTGTCCTGGGTGGGCACTGAGACCCATCCTGAAGCCCACGAGTGGCGGTGGCTTGTGTCCTTACTGTTTTGGTTTTCACCGTCCTTTTTGTTTTTGTCCCTTGGCAATGTTTCTAACTTTTTTGCTGGTTCCATTAGGCATGTAAGCAAACGGCTGATCCATTTTCTTTTACATTTGTTGGATTGTTTAGCAGAGGACTTTCATTCAACTCACGGAGTCCACTCTACTGCCAGAGCCAGAGATGCTCACCCATTAGTTTCGCCTCCTTTAATAAAGAAGAGTGCGGCAAGTAAAGGTCTGAATCACTCTTCTCTGGATACTCAGCAAAACCTGCTATGCTATGGGAATACAAGAAACTTGGAGGCAGCAATTCAGTTTACAGACCAGAATGACTTTCCCACCTTAGGAAGACCTGGCGTACAACTCTGAATGAAGTCTGTTAACTTGGCTTTGTAGCAGATGTGGGTTGGCTTGAATTATACAAAACCACTGAACTCTGACTGTAGGCAGTAACTCCTAAAAAAATGGATCTTTGCATGTAAATACACAGTCACAAGACGATGGAAATGGGGCATGAACAGAAGGGATGAGGCCAAACTGGAATCAGTACTCTCAGCTGACCAAGAGGTGGACACAAATGAGATCAAACTCTAAGAATCATCTATTGACTTTGCAGCTGAAAACTCTGAATATTTTTGTATGAGCTAGTTTTATGACAGAGGATTGGGAGCACGGAAAAGTATAATGGATTCAGAGGAAGGATAAAACCTTTCAACAGGATGAACCCTTGGGTGTGCTACAGTGGAGTATGAAGATGTAAGAATGAGACTGCTTCAGGGACCTTGTGTGATAGAATCTGTTTTGAAATAAGGATCTAAGGGAAAAAGCCATAGCCATATGGGCTGTGTGCACCATGTAATGAAGAAACACATAGGACTGTGATTTCATTGAGATTATTTTGAATATTTCTTCCTTCCTCAGATTGGCTGAGATAAAGTCTTTAATTCATATAAATTATGGTATATTTCAGGGGGACAAATATGAACATGATCTTTTATTCTTTGGGTTAGTGGTGAGGGACAGCTTAATTCTACCGCTTTGAATAATTTTATAATTGTACAAACAATTCAGCTAAAACTCAGACATGCATGAGTCGGCCTTGGCTGGTTCTTTATTACCATGACATAGAGCTGAGCTGGAAGGAAGTAGAGGCTTGAAGGAGCAAAGCAGGGGGAATGAAAGACACTGAGAGACAGAGAGAGATGGCCAGCCAGACAAGCTGAGGAGGTCCGAAATAACTTTGAACTCTTTCTTCCCACTGCCTAAAAATGTAGCCCTCCTGGAAATCTTTATAGAGAGGCCCTCCGTGAAGACGGAAGACGGGAGAGGAATGTTCAATTACATACCACGAGACAGAGGCTCATAAAAGATAAAAAGCCATGCATTTTTTCCAAACCATTGCAGGGAGAGAATCCACTAAGCGATCCCATCTTGTCTGTTTTTAGACATAAACCCCTTCACAGGTGACACACTTACTAATTCTTTTTAATGAATCATTTAAAGATAAAATTAGCAGTAGAGATAGTCTACCAAGAGTAGTAAATCTGAATCCTATTATTATAGCTTTAAAAACATTTCTTCCTTATATACACACTTTTTTGGGGGATGGGGGGGTTAAATAATAAAATGAAAAGATTACACCTACCCAAAACATTCCCAAATAAAGACTGTGAAATTGCTTTGACTGGAGAAGCACATTAAAAAAATCTTTTTATTATACAGGACAATACTTAAAGTATATAGCTATTGTGCATTTTACTACATCAAAAACTACAATTACTTACTTCAGATAACTTCCCAGTAGTTTAACCAAGTGTTTCGGTAATGGTACACAAACATTATTTACTCGAGACCTTTGCTGAATCTAAATTTTATGAATCCCATTTCTAATTTTATACCTACATTTCTTTTCTTTTCACCTCGCTTATGATCCTCCTTTTTCTTTTTATAAAAAGATTTTATTTATCCTCTGAGAGGGTGGAAGGGAGGGAGAAAGAGGCAGGGAGAAACATCAATGTGTTAGAGAAACAGGTTGCCTCTTGCACGTGCCCTGACCAGGGACTGAACCTACAACCCAGACACATGCCCTGACAGGGCATTGAACAGCTGACCTTTTGCTTTGGGGGATGATGCGCAACTATCTAAGCCACACTGGTCAGGGCAATATTCCTTTTTCTTTAGAAGATTTTGTCCACACTCACTTCTTGAGACCATTGCATTCTA